GTTGAAGGATATTAGAGTTAATGGGGTCATTAAAGGACTGTTCTCTGATCTAGCCTTTTGTTCTGTAATTTATTGAAGTGGAAATCAAGAGAGTTAAGTGTCTTCCTCAAAATGTGTTCTTCTTTAAGCAGAGAATATTACTGCTGAAATAGATTTGAATGTTTGAAGTACATTTTTTTCCATCATTGCTTTCAGGTGATTATATAATCCACTGACTAGTTCACAGAGATCAAATGGCTTATGGAAGTCTTCTGATTAAACGTGATGTTGAACATAAGTTCTTAGCTCCATTCCCTTATAAAACATCCACAAACGTGACAATAAGAGGTTAAAAAAAAATCTACAAAATAAAGAGAACAGGAGTCAACAGGAACGAAATTTTGAAAGTTGTAAAATACATGGACAGGAGGTAACACACTTAGCAGAAAGAGAAAGCTACCACTGAAGCTGGCAGGAGAAAAAATTTGGCTGCAAGAGCATCCATCCTGTAGGACCCTACAAAATCTCATAAAGAAAAAGCAGCAAGGGAAGAGGATTAATGGAAAGTTTTCATAACACGTAGTGAAACACCCAGATTGTTTCTCTCCAACCCTAGCAGAAGACTGATGATTTTCTTTCTGGAGAGACTGAACCAGAAGGACTCTGGATTTGGCGATGCAAGGATTATTATCCCTCTCAGAGAGGAGCCTAGAGGAGTCCTCTCTGGGGAATCTGAACAACTCGAGAAAAGATCTGGGGTGGGTCTTGGTGAGCGGTTACCCAACTTATTAACCCTGTCAGGCTACCCTGGTATAAGAACCTGTTGTCTTCTCCTCTACATTCCTCTCATGATAGGAACACCCTGCTGTGCCAAGTGTGATTCTCGTGTTCAGAGTGACACATTTTTTTGTAAAGCTGGCTGTCTAAATGAAGCTAACTACTGATGCTCAACAGCCACCAGTAGTCTTTTTCAAACACTGTAGTAAAAATAAAAACCACCTGTCTTGGCTTTATTGCAAGCTCTCAGGCTAGATTTTATCCTTTTCAGTTTTCTGTTTCCTACTCTATAAAAACGAAAATGTATATGTAAAGTGCTGAGGATAATGCACATAGGAAATGTTGAGTACCTTTTAATTAGTGATGCTATTATATATTTTGATCCTTCTTATCATTCTTAGTTACATGCACAAACTGATTCAGGAAAAGGAAGCTTCCCTTCAGTATGATTAAAAAAAAAAAAAAAAAAAAGATATTAGGGCACCTGGGTGGCTCAGTCGGTTGAGCGTCTGACTCTTGGTTTTGGCTCAGGTCATGATATTGAGCCCCACATTGGGCTCCATGCTCAGGAGGGAGTCTGCTTGAGATTCTCTATCTCCCTCTGCCCCTCCCCCTTTCATGCTCCCTCTCTTTCTCTCTCTCTCAAATAAAATTTTTTTTCAAAATTTGAAAATTAAATTTAAAAAGATCTAAGTATTCAAAAACATGCTTCTCAGTATGTTGCACCCGTTTATAAGTACTCATTGATTCACTCCTAAAAATATAGTTAGTATAAGTATTACTAATAAAGGAGACTGTTCTAGACTTGCATGGGATTATGGGAAATCCTAAAGAAGTCAAACACTGTGGCCACCATAGCAACAGCTATGTCTTTATCTCACTTTTGAGCCTAGCTTAACATAGGATCCTAAAACACAGTTATTGGTTGTATTCACATTTTTTTTTAACTTGAAAAAAACTATTGTATATTTGTTTTCATAGATATTCCATTAACTCAGTGGCACTTTGCTGTCATGTGGCTGCAGTCAGCTGCTTTGTCCAGGTTGTGAAAAGGGTGATGGCTCCATCTGGGTTGCAGGCAGGAATGGGAGCTTTCAGCCTTAAAGTCTTTTTGGGTTACTCGTAGTGCATAAAAGATGGAAAAGAGGATTCCATCCTCTTGGCGTGGCTTCTGGGGGTGGGCAAATGAGTGGGGAAAGATTAAGGCTGGAATAGCAGCTTGCTCAGCAGCAAATGCATTGCCTCTGTTGCCCTTTTCCTTTACTTCTGAGGCTTGGATGGGTGGCATGCCCCATATAGATCTTCCTCTGAGATTCTGCCCTGAGCGTAGATCAGAGCCATGAGCAGTGCTTGGCAGCTTCTCTTTTGAGTGGTTCGTTTATCTTCAGAAGGCATTTCATACTCCTTAGTTATTGAGTCCAGCCAGACAGACGCTGGTGGGCACTGAACCAATAGAGGACTCAAGGCATAATCTCTGTTGTGTTGTAACTGGCTTGCCAAGATTGTGAAAAACATTCCAAGGGTAGAAGAGCAGTAATAGGTAAATTAACTCCTTATTAGGTCATCTCTTGACTCCCATTTCTCTGCCTAGACCTTCTTCTATCATAAATAAGATCAGAGACCCTACTACCAGCCATCAGACTGATGGGCATACCCCATACTGGTTGGCTTTGATCTCTGTGATTGTGAAAAACCTCTGTTCTCCCCTTTGGTTTGCCTTCCAGCTCCTCCCTTGAGGTTGTCTTTAGGGGAATGAGGTACACGGGACACTTCACCCTCTTACCCTGTCCTTCCTACTCTGTCCCCTCCCAGTTGGCTGATGACAGTCAGGTATTTGCTGCTTATATGTGCCTAGCACTTTGCAAGTCACAGCCCAAGTGGAGGGAATAGTCAGTAGAGTTCACATTTAACTCAGTGTCCTTTTGCATGTGGCTACTGTCAGCTGCTCTGTCCAGCCTGTCAGAAAGGGCTGTGTGCTAGCCATTATATTAAGGAGTTTACATGTCTCATCTCCTCGATGCTCATACCAATCCAGAGTTGTGCCACAGGAGGTGTTAACAACTTTACTCATTTTACAGGTTAGCATCCTCAAGTTTAGAGTCTGTTTCCTGGGAGTTGTAAAGTAGAAATGAAGTCCACCTAATGCCAAATCTTGTATCTTACCTACTTCTGCACTCCCAAAGGCCGTAGACCTTAGTCTTAAGAACAAAACACATTTAAAGCAAATAGTGAGCAGTACTAGACAGAATGCCATCAAGTGCTATATCAAATAGACTCTAACAATAATATTTTATACTTTATTTCTTAAATATATCCAAAGAAAACAAACAGAAAAAGACATACTAAGAAGAGGAGAGGAAAGTTGGATTCACTTCTCTTCTGAGAGCCAATTTTTAAAAATTTAGTACCAGGGCATTATGAAATAATCAGTGTTAAGTAAATGATGATTTTCATTGATAGTAATGAATTAACCTAAGCTTATTTTAGATGCTCACAAAATATTTGTGTTTTGATAATCCCAGTCTAATGTCACGGAAGCCAACGAGTATGTGTGTTTATTATCTCTGTCACTTAGTGCCCAGCGTACTATCTTGGTTCATGGTAGGTTGGTGGATGAGCACATGCAGAAGAGAACAGCTTTGCCAACACCAAATGCTCCATTCTGTTATAATAAGTGGCTCCATGTAGGTCCCCAAGTAAAACTCTTCTCTTTCTAGTTCAACATTCAGCTTTTCCTTAATGTTGCTCTCTTTTTATTAAAAACAAACAAACAAACAACAACAAAAAACTAGCTCTCTTGCTTTTTTGTGTAAAATTAGGGAAGGAAAAATTGTGTCTGTTGACTGAAGGCTGCACGCATTGTAGCAGCCATGTACAGATGGATGGCCTCCAGCTACTGCAGTTGAAATTCCACTTCATGTGCACTCATAAAGGACATGCTCCTGCCCCTTCCAGCTCGCTGTAATCGTCCAGCATATGAGCTAATGATGTTTTTGAAGCTTGGGAAGTGGAGGTATTTCATAGTTCATTTCTCTCTCCTCTCCCACAAAGCACAGCCATGATCTGACACATGATCAATGGGACCAGCCCTTTTTAGGATGCAGAAGATGCTTCCCTGCGTCTGTGGCTCACAATGGCAAACAATAGAGACTCCTACAATGATATTTTGCCTCCCTGGTGTTCAAACTTCTTCAGTTAAGCCTGTCTGGAATCTGGAATCTTTAACTATTATCTATCAAAGCTTTTTTTTTTTTTTTTTTTTTTTTTTAATAAAATAAAAGGGACAGGAGGGTGGAACCAAAGAGGAAAGACTGTATCTTTGCCAAGATGCTCTCTCCTCTCCCTATGACTCATAGTTAGAGAAGCAGAGGGACTTTGGAGAGCTGCCTGCAGTCACATTGAGACAGCTCTCCCAGCTTTCAGACATTTTAAAAAAATTTTCTCAGGGAATAAAGATGTTTTTCAAATTGTTCATTCCCTCCTTTTGGGCCAGCCTGAGAGCTTTTGTTTAGCTGTAGCATGGTGGTTTTATGGAAGATTTGCCAGCCGTAACAGTTGAACCCAGATCATTGTATTTAGTGTATTACTAAAGAATTAGCTCTTTGCTGTTGAAAATTTGTAATCGTTCTTTCTTAGGATTATCATATTAAAAGGAGTTGTCTCAGACCCATAGCATTCCTATGGAATGAAGTTTGTATTTGGATATTCTTAGGCATTTTCTTAGTATATTATGTTGTTTGTAGAATTTAAAATACTCAGGTTTTGGTTTTTGGTTTTTGGTTTTTAAGTTGGTTTTAATATGGCAGGGCTCCCCAAGCTATATAAGGGACCTGCTTAATAAATGTAGTCATCCTGATTTTAACCATTTGACAGCACAAGAAAAAGGAAAGGTCACCTTAATTTTTCTACCTTCATATGTAAATAAGGGTGGTTTTTTTTTTAAAATAAGCGTTAAATTTAGGCTTCCTGAAAACCAGTTGCACTGACAAGTCTAAATCTCAGTTTTTCAAATTTCTTTTCTTTTCAGCTATAAAAATTGATTGTGTCCTTTTATGGTTCCAGAAACTGGCAAACAACTTAGTATCCCTATCATCATCCCCTTTTCACTCCCCCTTTTTTAAAGGGTTCCACTGTTTCTGCCATAGAAATAACTAGATCATAGGGGTTTGATACCAAAACTAGTTATGAATGAATTGATTGGGTAGTTATGACTGCTTAGCAGGAATTTATTTAAGGAGTAGGAGAAAGTAGCAACATACAAAACAATTCTGTGTTGTATAGGAAAGTTGCTTTGGACAGCTGACTCTAGATATAAACTGAACATAAGTATTCATTAGAGTAGAAAATACTAGTGGAGGAGTTAATTGCTGAAAATTTTATTTCCTGCAGGACTTGATCTCTAGCTAAAATCTACTTTCGGGACCTTAAGTTCAACTTTAGTGGTTTTATCATTTCATCTTGTAATTTTAGAGGCCATTTTGCAAGGTGTACTGCTCCCATAATAATTTATATTGACTGCCCAAACTGGATAAAATGATGTTTAGCTGGTAGGGGAGTGGAGGATAGTGGAAAAGAGCTGAATCAGCTGTGGGCTGAATAATTGCTTGTTTTTCCTTGTTTTTCACTTATTTGTATCACTGCCATTTTTCTGGTGTATTAGAAACGTGTAAATGACTGACGTTTTAATGAGTGGATTAAGTGTATTATTCCACAGAGTCATTACGCTTGAGAGCCAGAAGGAGTTTCAGGAGGTCTGGGTCCAGTCCACAGTTCTAGTATATCTTGTTTGGCTCATATTTTATGTTTGTAAAAATAGTAGCTACTTTGCTTGATCGTTATGAGCAGCTTTGCATCTATTTTCTCACATTGTTCTTCGTGCATTTCTGTTAACTGAACGGCCCCTGTGGCCATGTGAGTTCATGATCCAGATAATCCTACCTCTTCATTTTACAGTTACAGGAATTTAAATCCTGAAGGATCAAGTGACTTTCCAAAGTCAAACAGCTAGTTCAGGGCAGTTCCAAAACTGTTTTACAGTTCGAGTATTTTTCTCTGAATTCTGCTTCTAAATTTAGAAAAGATGTTATTTGGGGAGTTGGGTGTCTCAGTCAGTTGAGTGTCTGACTCTTAATTTCAGCTAAGGTCATGATCTCAGGGTCATGAGATCAAGCCCTGTGTCGGGCTCCACACTCAGCTGGGAGTCTGCTTGAAATTCTCTCTCTCCCCTTGTCCCTCTGTCCACGCCCCTGTCCCTACTTTTGCATGCATGTGCTCACATGCTCTGTCTCAAATAAATAACATCTTTTCTTAAAAGATGTTATTTATTTTTTCAGTATGTTAGAGACCTTTGTCAAACTGTAGGAATGCCTTTTTATTTCCTTTTTTTTTTTTTAAACATTTATTTGAGGGACACCTGGGTGGCTCAGTTGGTTAATTGTCTGCCTTCGGCTCAGGTCGTGATCCCAGGACTCTGGCATTGAGTCCCACATCAGTCTCCTTGCTCAGCAGGGAGCCTGCTTCTTCCTCTGTCGGCTGCTTCCCCTCTCTCTTTCTCTCTTTCTGACAAATAAATAAATAAAATATTGAAAAAATACCTTAAAAATAAAGATTTTATTTATTTGAGAGAGAGATGATGAGAAGGGGGAGGGACGAGGGAGAGGGAGAAGCAGACACTGAGCACCAAGCCTGAGACGGGACTTGATCCCAGGAACCTGAGATCATGACCTGAGCCAAAATGAAGAGTCGGTTGCTTAACTGACTGAGCCACCCAGGTGCCCCCGGAGATGCTTTGAAAAGATGTCCTACAAATAAAATAATTGAGAAGCATTGGTGGAATAATAAGAGTGAAGAGTCTAGTTTAGGTCCTATTACAGACCAAATCTTTTCATCTCAATAGACACCAAGATTTTTCATCGATAGAGGAATTGTACCAGACAATCTCATATCACTCAGTACAGGGCTTGGTAAAAATAGTAACTTCTCAATAAATAGTTCAGAGAACAGAGTGGCTTTTGAAGGTCTCTACCAGCACTAAATTATAGATTCTGTAATTGTATATCAGCTTTCTTCCTTCCCCTATCCCCAGTTTACTTAGCCTAGATGGTTTTCAGAGTCTCCTTAAGACACTTGAGGTGTCTTTTTAAGTTTCTTGGTTTAGAACTTGTTAGGGGAGTTCTTTGAACCCGTGTATTCTGACTTCTGTCCTCATATTTGTGGTTTCCCTCTCCCTTCAGGTTATCTTTTCCTGAACTTACTATACTGCAAAAAGATCCTTGGATCTTTTTGATGGGAAGGAAACAGGAGGCAGAGGAAGTAAGGAGTAGGTAGCTTTTCAGAATGACCACATTATTCCACATTTCTCCCATCTCTAGTCTCCTCCAGCTTTCTACAAAAAGAGGTAACGTTTTCTCCTGGTCTCATCTGTTTATAGGCAAGATGAATTTCAAAACTGGAAATGGATTACTGTTTCATTATAAATAATACTTATGTTTTCAATGTACATTATTGGGATTTATACATTCTGAGCAGGCCTAGCCACTGTTGCCAAATCATCAGACACCTACTGTTATAGGACATGAAGGGATAGAAAAGTTCTCTCCTACCTTATAAGAGATTAAAAGCATTAGCGGGAAGTCAGCGGAGTTACAGAAATAGAAACTAGCTGTGAACTTGGGTTTATAACTGCAGTAAATCCAACATTACCTTTTGATATAAACAGAGAATCTTATGGAATTTAACTTTTCCATATATTAGAGAATCAGAATGTTTAAAACACGGATGTGCTTTTTTTCTTCATTAAAAAGAAAATCTGGTTCTTAAGAAACTCAGATTAGTGCTGAGCTTCTCTTCCCTCAGAAATATCCCTGAAGAAATCCATCACCTCACACAAAAACACATATAAATCTGCTCAACATCAGCTTCATTCTTCTCTGCTTTTCTGCTGGTGTGCTTCATCCCCTGGGCCAGGGGCCTTTGCCTGCTCATTTCTTTTGTGGCAGACTTAATCCTGACAACTTTACTAAGCCAAGAATACTCTAGAAATTCTAATTTCTATGCCTTTGTTTTTCTCCATTTTGTTTTTCACCTTCCACTTCCTCAGAACTATTCATATGTACACCCTGCCAGTGACTAATAAATATATGTGATTTTCCTGTCTTAGTCATTGTATTATTCATGATTTTGCAGAAGTTTTTCTGAAGTTCCTAGCCAAACTATAGAAGACATCAGGCAATGTTTGCATCTTTTTAAAACTGGCTCATTTATTGCTCATAGATTTCCTCCCGAAAACCAAAAATATTTCCCTTATCTCTGCCTAAACCAAGCCAGTTCCCACAACTTTATATGCTTTTATGAATAGGACTGGTCCCAAGATCCAGTTTTTCTCAACTTCCTGTTCCTTGCTAAAAGAACTTCTTCTTCCTCCCCTTAGCCTCACCTTGCCCACCAGTGATGGTGTCTCAGGAGTGAAGCTAACCTGTGTGTCCAGCTTTAAAGTAGCTTGAGGAGCCCCACCAGGTGCTTCTGGGTGCAGTTTCACTGGCAGGTGAATTGTTGGTCACAAAGACAGCCATTTTCTGCTTGTAGGACCATCGCAAGCAAGGAAGCACCCAGCAATCACTGTAAATATATTTTCTTGTCCTATTCTCCCACAAATAATCCTCCTGTCATCCATACGCATCACCTTTTGGAGGCTAATAAAAATGGCATTCCAGGTTTCAGACAAAGAACATTTGGTGTTGGCTCCTTACCTTTAAATACCTTAAGAGAAAGAACAGCAGAGCATAGTCAGTCTGTAAGTGTTCTTTCTGCATCAGAAAGAGGGAGATGTCATTTTTAAGATTGGAGTTCAAGGAAATTGAGTTAGACCAATAGGATAAGAATATAGATCACGTGGCACAGGGTAGCTATTTGGAATGTACGTCATGAATAAAAAATGTGTTTCCTAGATTGAGAAAGGCCGATCTGGCAAAACAATAACCAGGTCAGAGAGAAGGGAAAGAGATAAGAATTGGGGGCCATAATTATCTTGTCGTTGCTTTCTTCCTATTCCATGAGAGGACATGGAAAATGGAGTACTTCTCCTACTTTCTGATATGTCATACCACTGTGTTTCCAGGTGAAATGCTAATGACCTCATTTTTAAGCCCTGAGTCTGACAAATTTAGACTTTGACTTTGATATCTAACGAGTCCCTCTGTTATCCATCTTCACTTCAAAAAATGTGTTATTATACTGCATTTATTTAGCACTTCACATTTGCAAAATTCTATGCCTGTGTTATTCTCTACCAAAAATCCACTTACTTATCACCCTTTTTAGAATGGCAAACAAGGATACCAGAAGGTCTTATGCATACTGGGTTTTAATTTTTTCAAATTCTTTTTGGAAATTGGCAGGATATGAATTATAAACTAACTGATAGAAATTGTAGTTTTATTACCATATTTGCTTTCCTCTCATAAATTAATCACTGTGGGGTTAGAAAAAGACTTGAGGAGATTGTCTATATAAAATTGGCTGAAATTGACCAGCAAACTGTGGAGAGGTTAACAACAAAGGAGACATTAGGGAGTTTGTAGGGGTAACAGAACTGTTCTTCCATCTTGATTGTGGTGGTAATTGCACAACTGGACATGTTTGTCAAAACTTACAAACCCATACATTGAAAAGTATGAGTTTTACTGTTTGTACATCCTGTTCCTGTAAGCCTGTCCTTCACAAAAGTGAAGTATTAGAACTTTAAAAAAAATCTTTTTTTATCTGCTTGGTGAGGGAGATAATGAATTCTGTGGCAGTGGTTGAGCCCAAACTGGTTGGCCACTTGAGGGAGGATCATTTCAGACCAGATTATTTTTCCTGATGCTTCTCTTAGTGTACACTTGGAACATGTTTGCTGAAAGTTAAAATTAACTGAAGGTTCCTTTGTAAAGAATAAGACTCTGGGATCTCAAGCAGGGAAGAGATTTAAAGTCTACAGTACTGTGTCTTTATTATCAGTTCCTATATTAGACCCTACTCCCTTTTTAAACAGTTGGCAAAAATATAATAGTCATTAGAAAATTATCAAAACTTGATTTTCTTTATGGGTTTGGGGGTGCAATTAATAATTGATGAAAGCAGAATTTCCAGAAGTTTGCAAAAGAAACTAATTATCCTTTTAGAATGAGAAAGTCAGTAGCAGTGATTGAATCAGATTCTGGCTTAAATAGTCACAGGGCACCCTTTTACCCTTTGGTTCTAGTTCAGGGAAGTGCTCAGACCTTTTAATAATTACACACTTTGCTTCACTGATAAGAGTCCCAGTCCACACGACAGGCTTTGGAGCCAGATGTATTTTCTTCTTGGCACTCTTTCTTTCCTCTCTTCACCCTGGCCCCTCACTCGCCTCCATGTGTGCCCGCCCAGCCCAGAAGCTGAGGTTTCCATCTGGAAAGCCTGTTGCCACAGGATACGCAATTCACTAGGGAGGAGAGGAAACTACATGTGTGTGTTTAAGGCTGGTGGCTCTCATAATCAGATAAACGTTGTGGAAAGCTTGCTCATTCATATGGAAGAGCCAGTGCTGCAGTGAAATGGTGGAGCCGCAGAGCTCCAGGCTCTGGCATCTGTGCATCAGCCCTGCCCAGCCAGAAGCACATTTACTTGCTGTACTGAAGAGCTGATGAACATCCTCGCTTTTGCCTTCAGCAGTAACCTTTAGATGAACCCTGTGGAGAAAAGGCTGTTTCCCCCCTTTATTTTATTTTTTTTTTCAATGAAATGATGAAATTGATTACAGATAGGATATACCATGTGACTTTTTCACACAGTAAAGTACCTTTTGTGTAATCACAGTAAGTCTGGTGTTTTGCTTTTCACTCTTGACTTCTTTAATATAACCTCTCCTCCCCTATAAACAAAAATCTCTGGGGTATCAAAGACTTCTGCCTCCAGTCAGTTTTGCAGCCTGTGATTCTCTGCTTCCTTCCTGGTGACATTAATCTTGAGTGAGCCATGGTGCTGGCGAATGCCCTGAGCAGTCCTGAATATAGCCTGATTTTGAGGAGAGGAAGCTTCCCAATTCCTGCCATGTGATTGTCCATGATTTGGCTTCTTAGGCCAGTTATGTCTTCACCTGGAATGCCACTTAGCACGGTGGACAGAGTGTCCTTGGCCTTGGGATATCAACTTTGAGAACTAGAGGTAGAGGTTGAGAATGCACGTCTTCATTCTGTCCTTTTTCCCAGGAAATACTCATGTCCTTACTCCAGAAAATACTCATGTCCTTAGAATTGTTGTAAGTTTACTTATGTTTTTTAAGCTGGAAACTCTGAATATCCGTGGCCTCCATGAGCACGGGCATTGTTGGGGAGATCTGAGTTGCATTTGTTTATCTTTTCCACACTCACACGGTTTGTCTAGCTTGGCAGCCTGCTGGCCTGGATAATAATAAAGCTTCTGTCGAGGTGAGCAAACAGCTGATGGCACAGGGCACAGAGGGGACTCCCGACAGTGGCCGCCTGTAATCTGCCAGGCTGGTGGTCAGAGCAGGCGAGAACAAAAGCCAGTCTGTTTGCAGGCAAATTGGAAAATCAATGTGTTAGTTGTGTTCTCGTGTCTTTGCCTTTCTCCTGGCTAAACGGGAGAATGCTCCTCCAGCAGTGCATAGAATCGTTCCAGACAAGTACCCTTTCCAGAGACTTACCTGCCTATCATATTACCACTGGCAGTTCTGAGCAGGGCCCACGTTTATCTGTTTGAACTGCTTAAAAGTCATTGATAGACAAGTCCTCAAATACACCATCCAGAGTGGGGTGGACCCTACTGTCTCAATGGCTTGAGTTGTTTATGTTCTAGACAGCTAGATAACACACATATGTTTGTGTCCTAATTTCTTTTTTAACACCGATAAGGACTTAGAAAAGAGTTCGTATGCTGCCTGCTTGGGAAGTGCAGGAGCTGCAGTTTAGGGAGCATATTTCATAAAATCGGTGTAAGTGATTCCCTCGTATTCCCAAGTTGATTTAATTTGTTCACATAGTTGAACATGTCCTAGACATGTTTGTGTCTCTGGATTCCTAGGTCTTAGAGAGCAGAGATCATACCAAGTAGCTCTGTTCCAGGATGAGGGAGACAGTGGACATAACTAAAGACCCCTGAGGGTCAGTTGACAAATCTCTCAAAGGCCGCTGTTCTGAGATCCTTGTGTAAAGTCTTGAGTTAACTTTCTCTCTAGGCTTCTAAGAAATCCGAGTGTGAGAAGACAAGATCTTTGAGAAGATAAAATTGTTCTGTTCTTTCACATATGAACGTTAGCCTCAGACAGTTAACAACGACTTTAAACAAATTTTAATTTGAACTTTGAAGGTCTAAACCTAGGTCCTATTAATCTTTGTTTTCTTTAAAGCCTAAATAAAGAGGCTGTTTGGTTGGATTTGGTCATGGTGCTCTTGTTTAAAGTCTATCAGAAAGAAATGTCACAAGTTCTGTAGTCACTGGAGACATCCTAAGGCAGAAGATTAGATTTTAAAATGAGGTTTAGGTTTAAAATAATCTTGGGTAGAGAAAGTAATTGGCATTTCTAATTCTGTTTGTTTTTAAAGAAAAAAATGGATGGAACCTAACCGTCACTGCTACCCAGTACATTTCCCAGCAGCTAACAATGCCCTGTGTCTCCTTAACACTTACTGTGTTCTACCTCGTAGTGTTGTGAACTATGTCTGTGTACTTCGTGTTTGTAATGAAATTAGAAATGCCCCAAACAGGGAATTTACAGTTCTTTGTATATGTCTTAGATATGAGCAAAAGGATCAGCACGTAATAGCATTTTATACATTTGTTGACCAAAGCTCTTTTTTTATTTGCTGAAAACCTGTGGGCCACCAACTGTGTCAGGCACTGAGGAGTCAGTGCTGGACCAGCAGCATGGCCCTCCTTGCCCAGCAAGGGCTTAGAAGCCAGCAAGCAGCATCACCCTCATTTAGGCAGTACACCTGGTAATTCTCTTGAATTCTCTCTTTAAAAATTAAAATTTTAAAAATTAAAATAATTGACCATTATACTTTAAATCTCAGATGTTTCAGATTAATAAGGAGAGGAACTCAAATAGCTCAACTGTTGACTTTAAAATGTGAGGGAAAGCACGAACTACTAACATATATTTTGTTTCATTTCTATGCAGAAGATCTCCTTAGATCTAGTATCTTGGGCACCTATACAGTGACTTACTCTGGCTAGGTCATTTTCACCCAGAACATAATTTGACATATTTCTCTCTTTCTGTCCTTTTTATAAAAAGTTGCATCGCTTTTTAAATTTTTTTCAGTAGGCTCTACCCCCAACATGGAGCTCAAATACATGACCCCAAGATCAAGAGTCACATGCTCCACTGACTGAGCCAGCCAGGTGTCCCATCTCTCTTTCTGCTTTTTAAGGGTTAATTCTGTAAAGAAAGAGTGAGAAATAATTTCCAGTAAGATTTAAGATATTCAGAAGTCAAAAGAGGGTTACATGACTCTGTATCCATAAAACATCTTCAGATCTTGTTTTTGCCAAATTTCTCACCAAAGCACTAATAAATATCCTAAATTAAATACTACTTCACACTTCCTCTCTTTTTCTCAGCTTTTACTTTGGCAGAGAACCTGTTCAGCAGGAGACTATCCCCATAGCAGATGGCAGGAAATAGCAGGTGGCAGATTGAATAACCAGCTTCTAAAAAACACTGGTATTAGCCGTATCCTCAACTCAAATATGGCACAAAATCCTTTTGCTCCAAGTTTTTGTCTTACCTTTTTTATTTAAGAAAACAGTTTGATTTTTATAGAGTCTGGAGATTGATGTGCTTCCTGAACAATTAAAGAAAAGATGGGGACCTCCCCTGACATGATACGACATTTGATGATGTGTCTGAATCACAACAGATAAACAGAAAAAGGAAGACAAAGCTCTTTAACCACCCCCCTCACAGCAGCATCTCGTCTCTCCCTTAGTCTGTGGCAGGGATGGCAGGGACCTGCAGGCAAAAGGAGTCGCCCCAGCCCCAGGTACCACCAGTGTGTGCACACCTGAGGCAAGAGCAGTGCTCAGAATACCTTTCTAGTTCATTCCTTTGCGGGTACCATTGCCACACACACCTCAGCTTGGGCTACTTCGGCTTTTTAAAGCCATGTGGGCAGCTACAGGAAACAAAAGGAGACGGGCAAACTGATGGGCTAGAATGGAGCTTCGAAGAGGGCGGTGGGAGGGTGTGGATCCTGGATGACCTGGATGCTTAATTGTGCTTCGTTTTTATTTTTTTCTGCTTTTTTTTTTTGTTTTTCTTTTGGTTCAGTTAAGAGTGTCCCGATCTCTCTGAAGTGCCATTAGAAATATCAGTATAACTCAAAGCTGATAACCCTCTAGAGTTGCTGTGGTATTCCTTTCTCCATTTGTGCTTCATCTGTTTCAAACTTCAAAAGTGTCAGCTTCAGCCTCACATCTCTCTTCTAATGAAATGCGTATTTGTGTAGTGCCATGGTTCGTGTTTTCCCCAGATCATTTTTTATAAATCTTGTATTTTAAAACAAGATGTTGCATCAAGAAGCGTTAAGTAAGGAATACAGCATTTAGGGTGTTTTGTTATTTATTATTCTGCCTCCTCTTTCCCATTTCATACTTTATAGTTAAGAGGTTTTATTGACTGTTTTTATTGACTGTTGACCTTTATGATTTTTGGTAACATTGACTGCACATTGGTAAATATCTACGAGAAGGACCTGATTGAGGATGCATTTTGGCATTGACATTTCAGAGTTAACCCCAGTTTTCTCTCTTATGCTTTATTTAGATTTCGACACAGCCCCAACTGCTGGTACCTGAGAGATTGGACTATCCACACCTGGATTAGACAGTGTCTAAAATACGGTGCACAAGACAAAGCCTTATATACCCTTGTAAATAAGGTGAGTGGTTTCCTGGTAATTGCAGCTTGTTTTCCTGAGTTTAGATGTTAATACCTATTATAGTATAGCAAAGACTAGGACAATAAATAACTTCGGATATCTGTTTGCTCCCAGATATCCTTTTTTGAATGGAATTGACTATAAGTTAATCAATGGTCAAATATAAAAATTCCCTAGCTGCTGTTTTTCCACACCTAGTGACTGGAAAATGACAAAGCAAAAGGAAGTTCAGTCACAAGAATTTTGCACTGGTGGTTCATTCTTGATCCCTAAAGTATGGATTTCTTGCCCGGTTCCCTTTGTTGATGTTTAGGGACAAAGACATGACCATTTTGCTGGAATGTGATCTCCAGTGTATTCAGACTATCTTACACAGTTTTTAAAGACAAATATTTCCTAGGTTACTCAAAACATATCTGCTGAATTCCTTGATTGCTTTCCTCGAGCCCCTGAGTCCCCTATGATTAGGGTTTTTCTGAATGTTACATTCCACCGAGGGTTGAGTCTTCATTATCTTTATAGTATGAACTAAAGTACAAAATAAGCAAAAATTGTGAATGTTATTTTTGTAAGTCTCAAGCTATAACCCTGTTTGACTCAAAAAGGTTTTAACAATATTTCTGTGCAAACATATTATCTTCGTAGTGTCACTGAACATTGTATGTTAGAACTCAAAAGGATACCATAATTTATTTTTTTCCGTGACTTGGGCCCAATTCAGCTTAACATACATTGCAGACAGTTTGTGTGTGTGTGTGTGTGTGTGTGTGTGTGTGTGTGTGTGTGTGTGAGAGAAATTGCATTGGGTGTAGCAATGTCTATAAAAATGAATAATATCCTTTCCTTGCCCTCAGGACGCTTATAATTGAATAATGCAGTTAAATATGTTTACTGAGAAATTTAATATTAAGCCCCAGAGGAAAGAATGGATCAAATCCTGTTCTCATTAGTTCAGAGTTTAATGACACAGATTATATTCACAGAATATTTCTTTGAAAACAAAACAGAAAGTGTCTAGAAAGGCATAAAAGTTTATCTGGTTTTCTGCTGTTCCTAGTCTTTTGGTGGAAAGAACACTGGACAAGGAATCAGAAGACCCAGGCTATAATCTCATAAGTTCCACCAGATGCCCATAATTTCAAGCAAATAATTTTACCCATCTAGGTCTTAGTTTTTTCAACTGTAAGTCAAGTGAGTTGTACTAATCAGTGATTTCCAACCCTGGCTCTGCATTAGAATCACACAGGACTCTTTAAAATTTTAGAGTTGCTTTTCTCTACTCCCAAGATTCTCATTTAATTAACCTTTATAGAGCATAGGCTTTTGGCATTTTTTTAATGGATTAAAAACAAAAAAAAATTTTTTTTAATCTGCTGGAAATTCTTTATTTTTCTTTTCTTTTCAAGATTTTATTTACTTATTTGAGAGAGAGAGAGACACAGCAAGAGAGGGAACACAAGCAGGGGGAGTCAGAGAGGGAGAAGCAGACTTCCCTCTTAGCAGAGAGCTCAATGTGGGGCTCTGATCTCAGGACCCCCGGGATCATGACCTGAGCCAAAGGCGGACGCCCAACAACTGAGCCACCCAGGTGCCCCAGAACAAAAAAATTTTTAAATAAACTTTATTTTTTTTTAGAGCAGTTTTAGGTTCACAACAAAATTGAGCTGAAGATACAGAAATTTCCTGTATGCTCCTGCCCCACACATATGCAGTCTCCCCCATTATCAACTCTGCCCCCCAACCAGAGTGATCTGTTACAATTGATGAAGCTATATTGTCACATCACCCAAATCCATAGTTTACATTAGGGCTCATTCTTGGTGGTGTACATTCTGCGGGCCTGGACAAATGTGAAATGTCATGTATATATTATTGTATCATACAGTTATTTCACTGCCTCTAAAATCCTTTGTGCTCTGCCTTCTTCATCCCTTACCATATCTTTTTAAAAGCTCTCCCGCTGATTCTCATTTGCAACCAGGGTTGAGAATCACTGAGTGGTTGATTTTTAAGGCTCCTTCCAGCTTTAATGTTTTATCATTCTAAAATATTTTGTTTTTGCCCTGCCCCTGGGGATTAGTGCCTATTTGGATGACTGCTTTGAGAAATACAGAAACTGCCCATGAGCCACAACCTTTAAAACAATGGCTTCTAAACCCTTTTTCCATTTCAGCACATCTAAGGCATCCCATACCGCCTAATGTAATAGGAACTCAATTCAACAGTGATTCGTAACTGGGGTGTTAGGGCTGTCAGACTCTCCCCGAGGGTGTGTATCAACTGAAAAAATTCCTCAGGTGTTTCTGGTGGCTGGTGGAGGAAGAATGGGGCAGGGTGGGGGATGGTAGTTAATCCTACTCAAGTAAGAATTTAAAACAAAAATATAATCACAGTCTAGGTAGATCATTACTAGTCAAACATGATTGTGCATGAAAATGACATAGAAAGGTCACTAAAATTTCAGGTTTATGTGCTGTTCCCAGAGATTCTGATTCTATAAGTCTGAGGTTTAACAATCTGCATTTTTTTCCTTTTTTTAAAAGAGTTTATTTTAAATGAGAGAGAGGGAGAGAGCGAACAGAAGGACAGAGGAGGAGGGAGAGAGAAAGGGAGAGAATTCCAAGCAGATTCCATACTGAGCATGGAACCTAACTTGGGGCACAATCTCACATCCCTGAGATCCTGACCTCAGCCAAAACTAAGAGTTAAACGCTTAAACATCTGAGCCACCCAGGTGCCCCAGAAATCTACTTTTTTAAAAACACTCCTAGAGAATTCTGAGGCAGATGCTAAAGGGTCCACATTTTGGGAAATGTGGATTCTCAAATATTTAGCTGCTCATGAACAGGAACTCAGTAATATTTTGTTGGAATATTTCTAAGTTCTTTAAAAACCAGTCTAAGGGGCAAGAAAAAACAAATGCTGGTGTGATTGTGGCAAAAAGAGAAGCCTTGGACGCCTGGGTGGCTCAGTGGGTTAAACCCTCTGCCTTTGGCTCAGGTCATGATCCCAGGGTCCTGGGATCGAGCCCCACATTGGGCTCTCTGCTCAGCATGGAGCCTGCTTCTCCCTGTCTCTCTGCCTGCCTCTCTGCCTATCTGTCAAATAAATAAATAAATAAATAATCAATCTTAAAAAAAAAAAAAAAAGAGAGAAGCCTTGTGCAGTGTTGATGGAAATGCACATTGGTGCAGCCACTATGGAAAACACTATGGAGATTCCTCAGTAAATAAAAAGAACTTCCATATGATCCAGAAATCCCACTTCTGGTATATATCCAAAGGAAATGAAAATAGGATATCAAAGAGATATATGCACCCCTGTGTTCACTGCAGAATTATTCACAATAACCAACCCTGGAAGCAACCCAAGTGTCCATTGATAGATGATGGATAAAGAAAATGTGGTATATATGTATGCAGTGGAATATTATTCAGCCATTTAAATGAAGATCTTGTCATTTGTGACAACATGAGTGAACTTTAAGGTCATTATGCTAAGTGACATAAATTAGAAAAATACCTATACCCTATGATCTCACTTACATGTGGAATCAAAAAAAGCCAAACTCAGGTTGCCTGGGTGGCTCAGTCAGTTAAGTGTCTGTCTTCAGCTCAGGTCATGATCTCAGGGTCCTGGGGTCGAGCCCCGCATCAGGTCCTGCTCCCAGGGAGATTGTGTTTCCCTCTCCTCCCTGCTCGTGCTCTTTCTCACTATCTCTCTTTCTCAGATAAAAAAATAAAATCATCATGTTGCACCCCTTAAACTTACATGACGTTGTTTGTCAATTTATAATCAATAAAGTTGGAGAAAAAATAAAGACCAGAACATAATGTGATAATGTGTACTTTCTCATGAGAGTCCATTTTTGCATTGACATACTTACCTTATAAAAAGAATTGCTAAATCAGTGGAGTATCAGGAGTGGGGGAGCCTATTATTTTTTGTTTTTATTTTTTATTTATTTATTTTTTTAATTTTCAGGGTTTTTTTGTTTTGTTTTGTTTTTTTAGCCTTGATAAGATACTACAGTTGAGCTTTATTTTTCACATATCGGTTGTCTTGTGTCATACACCCACTCACAACTTTCTTACCCTGACCAAGTTCCAATTACCAAACCTCACGAGTCACATCTTCTATTTTACTGTCACAGATGCTGTAAAATGATAGGCAAATATCTTAAAGCTAATGGTGGCAAGTTTTGTCATGAATAATGCATAGGCATATATTATGAACTGAGTGAAAGTGGATATTTTTCTCTTATTTTCCTTTTATTTTCATTACCATTCCAGGTCCAGTATGGAATTTTTCCAGATAACTTTACATTCAATTTACTGATGGATTATTTCATAAAGAAAGAAAATTACAAAGGTAAGAAACCAAACCTGGGTCCTTTTATAGTGGGGCTTCATCTCCTAAAGGGAAGTAAATATAGGCAATTTCGCTTATTTTGTTTCATAATGACGTCTCTTTGGATCACTCTTTCTGTTAGAAATAGATGCATAGTTGATTTACCATACCATTTGGCCAGATAGGACAATGTATCCAGGTTTTTTTCCACTCAGTTTCTCAAGTTTTTTTGTTCCTGCCTCCTTGTGCAAAGGACAGTGAATTTAGTTAAGCAATAAACCTGCTTGAGCAGCCATGGCTGGTTAAGGTTGTAGTAATGCGATTGTTAGCTTGACTCTTTTTAAAAAAATACCATTTGCTAACTTTGTTTAGTTTAAGACACAGTTGTTATTCTGTGTGAAATATAAGACTGGAAAATCACTTGATTTTTCTGGGAAGAGCAGTACCCTTGCTATGAAGAAAAGTCCTTTTCCCTCCCCAGTCTTTTGTTTCCTCATCTATAAAATAAGTGGGTGGGTAATCTCTGAGGTCTCTTTACCCCTCAAATTTCTTGAGCCTATGCAGTTAATTTGAAGTGACTCTTCACTTCGACTACAATAAGGGAGTCCAAGGAAAGATGGAGATTGAAGTAGACTGTACAGAGGAGTCAGGGGGCCCGATGTCCAGCCAGTGTCCATGGGTTAGGGAATCATATGACAGCATGCTTCTACTTGGGGCTGTGCTGATAGTGAGGAGGGAAAGAGGAGTCTTGCTATTGTGTAAAGACACACCTGGCTTTCCCTTTCCCCTATATCATCCTCAGGCTTGGTACTGAGGAGCCACAATGGAACTCTTTTATTAGCTATGTTAGTACTATGTTACCCACAGGGGAGCTATGTTAGTAGTCAGTACCTCAGGAAGGTGGATATAGACTGGTGGGCATTTATGCATTTATAACATCTGAGATTCCTGCCATCGGGTTCCATCCCCTCGTCCCTGCACACCAGCACCAGTGGCCTTTCCCACTGCGTCCATACTTAGGCTAGGGACAGGGCATTCCTTCCATGAGTGTGGCCACCTCTCCCCTTTGTCTCCTCTGAATATCTGCTTTATCGTCTCTCTCAAAAGACTTGCAGTTGTTGACTGCCAAAGAGTATGTGCTGTATATTATCTTTTGAAATGTCAGTTATCCCTTCTTGTCTATTTCTTATTCAGTCTTAAACCTACATTTCCTGAATTCAAGTGAAAGAGGATTAGCTTTTCTGTGTTACCAAATCTATGCTCCAGGAACATCAGATTTAATAGTGTATCATTGGAGAATTACTCGAAGTAGTTTTCTCCCGGCCCTCTCTCTTTAAAGTGCATGCTAGAAAGGTCGAAGGACTTTTTTTCCCCTAAATGCAGAGTAAATATTTAATATTGAGGATTTCTAAAAATAAAGTTTTAATGAAGATTATTATCATTTATGGCAAAAATTTAGAAAGTATACTTTTTATTGTTAATAGGGTAGGAAATATCAAAGTACATAAGTGAATATGGAGGAAAAGATAATTGATTGTACAGGGTAATCTAATTTCACTTCCCAAGCTGAATGAAATGCAGAATATAAATAAAAGATAGTAAGTTGATATATTTTTCATGTGTAATTTTGGATTCTGTAATGAACAATTGAAAAACCAGATTTTTTTTTAACTGGATTTTTAGGTTTAAATTGTGTTCTTTTAAAATACTGGTTTGTTTGGGGTTGTTGTTTTAAATCTCTTCCAGGTCCTTATTTGCTGCTGATTTAGTAGATGACTTTCTGGTGTGTCTCAGTTTCCCCATTTCCAAAAAGAATATAGAAGTGCTTGCCTATGGCCTCATTTAAAACCATGACAACATGCACAAAGCCAGCTGGCTAGGAACAGCTGCAAGTCAGTGCTAACTCTTATAATTATGATTATATGCAAAAATTGGTTAACACAGCAGCTTAGTTAGTCAAAAACATTTGTTGTGCCTGTTTTATGTTCTGGCACCATATTTTAAACCAATATTAACATTCTCTAATTTAACAACAAATATTAAGGGAAAGAAATTGTCTGAACTTGATTTTCTTGGCTTCCATCTATGTTGTGGAATCTTAAGGGAAAATAAAAATTGCTCAAGGTCTGATCTGCTATGATCAGCATTCATGTGGCAACAAATATCTTACATTGTATTTTATAGTCAGGGGCTTATAATTTATGAATGTGCATTTTCCTTTCCAGTCTTTCAAGTCTTTTTCAACTGGGCCTAATTAGCCTTTTTATAGTTCTCAGTTTTCTGTCTCCATAATGATATCTGGGATTTAGGATCATTGCTAGCATTTGTCTTCATTTTCCCCAACACAGAGAACGTTCCAGAACCCAGAATGGGGCAGTCAGCTGACCTTCTATTCTGCTTGTCAGGGTGACCTGGAAAATATATTTGCCTCCTTTCTGTATGCCTTAGTTCTTCTAGCTGGCAGACATGATGTGTTAAATTTGCTTCACAATTTATGAGGCATTTTTGTATGTACTCTTTTTTTAAAAGATTTTATTTAAGAGAGAGAGTGAGCAAATGAGCATGAACTGGAGGAGAGGGAGAGGCAGATTCCTTGCTGAGCAGGGAGTCCAGTGCAGGGCTTGAATCTAGGACCCTAAGACCATGACCTGACTCGAAGACAGATGCTTAACCACCTGAACCACCCAGGCACCCCTTATTTTGTTTTGTTTCTTTAATTTTATTTTTTATAAGATTTATTTATTTGACAGAGAGCACAAGCAGGGGGAACAGCAGAGGGAGAGAGAAGCAGGCTCTCTACTTAGCAGGGAGCCTGATGCGGGGCTCAATCCTAGGACCCTGAGATTATGACCTGAGCCAAAGGTAGACACTTAACCGACTCAGACACCCAGGTGCCTTTCTGCCATAGTCTATTGAAGTAGGTGGGACAGATGGGTTTTTTTTGTTTTGTTTTTTGTTTTGTTTTTTTTTTAATCATTAAGAGGATGATACTGGGAGAAGTTAAGAGAAATTAAGTAGATTATTCCGTGTCCTTGAGAACATTGGTACAAAAGCACCTGACTTAGTATATAATAGTATAGTAGAAGCTAAATATTTGGGAAAAATCTGGTTTGTGGAAGATCTGGGATCAGAGCTCACATTTTTTTGCTTCTTAATTCTGTTTGTTTTTCTGTCATGCCCCACTTTTTAAGTTTATAGTTAAGTACAGATTTGGTGATGTTACCTAAAACTAATACCCTCTCATTTTTACTTTGATCTTTTTGCCAGATGCTTTAACCGTAGTTTTTGAGATCATGATGCAAGAAGCCTTTGAAGTACCTTCCACCCAGCTTCTGTCCCTCCATGTTTTATACCATTGCCTGGCCAAGAAGACAGATTGCAGTGTAAGTGGTGGGTTGTCCAGAGGTACTCAGAGCCCAAGAAGCCCGCCGTGCCTCTTGAGCAAGGAGGAGGTGGGGAGAGGAGACTCCTGCCCTCAGAATCTGACATGCAACTCTGTGGCCCCCGAACAGCCAGGAATGAGTGCTCCTTCTGTACATTTTAGTTTCTGGTTTCTGACAGAGTGGTGCTGCTTGGAAGTTCCTCCACTTGAAAGAATCTCAAGTGAAAGTCCTTATACACATTTTGAAACTTGAACTAGGCTGAATGCCCCTCAGGTGTTCAGAAACGGGCAACTGACTGTCCATGACGTTGGCCTTGAGCATCAAAGAAGCAGTGAGGCATCTAACTGGCCACGACCTCAGGCAGTCAATGCCGATTGTTCAGCTGGCATCAGTATTTTCCTGAGGCTGCTCTGGTCAGTCCAGAATACCAAGTTTTGGTTTCCTCTCTTTGGGTTCAGCTGTTTAATCATTGTTTACTGTTACCCTAAGAATACCAACAGTAATAACAGTAATAACTCATATTTAAATAGTACCTGCTTTACACCAGGCTACGTTCTTAGTGTCTTCATTTATTAATGCATTTAATCCTCATAATTCTATGCGGATGAGAAGACTAGAGCACAGAGATGTTATATAATAGCGGCTCTTAGGTGACAAGCCACCTGGGGACGCCAGGCAGCCTGAGCCTGCAGTCTACCCTCAACTTCAGATGCAGCATCAAAATATACTAGTTCGGGTAGAAACTGAAAAGGACATCTAATCCAGCTCATATTCAGAAGAAGTTATAGTGTGTGTTGCTTTCCTAAGATGAGGGTCATAGCCTGTGGCATACCTCACATGCATTAGTTCATTAAATTTTTGTTGGGCAGTGACTGCCTTCCATACATTGCCAAGTACTGGTTATACAATAGTAAACCAACACTCCCTGCTCCCAGCCAAAGAACAATACAGGCATTCAAAGCAAAACAAAACAAATACATGAATATAAAACTTGTAACAAAAAGAGCACTACAAAGACCTCTCATATAACAAGCATATATTTTGGGAGTTCTTGTCTGTTTGTATTCTAAACTTAGGTTAGGAATGCCTTACTTAAGGAAATATTTCTTGTGTTAGTATTTGAAAGATGAATAGGAATTAACTGGCTGAAGAGAGGAAGAACAATCCAAAAAGAGAAACTAACACATGCAAAAGCCCAGTGGCAAAAATTATGGTGAGCAGAAAGGGGCTGGAAGAAGATTGGAAGACAGTGTAGATGCAGCAGAGAGAATGGTTGGAAGGGCAAAGGGTGAAGTAAGGTTAGAGAATGTAGGTCATGCTAAGCTGTATTTGTATATCCTAAAAATAGTGAGAAACCATTGAGAACTTTTAAGTAGAAGGGGTAATATGGTCTGGTTTGTGTTTTGAAAAGATGCATCTGGCTGTAATGTGGGTAGGAGATTGAATTGGGTCCATGGTGGCTTATGGTCAGAGCACTTGGGAGACTGCATGGTTGTCTGAGCAAGAGGTAATGAAACCTGGGGACCAGAATGTCTGTGGAGTTAGCAGTAGCCAGTGAACATGCTTCGGAGGCAGATAACATGATGGGGAACTGTATGTGGAGGCAGGGACATACAGGTGAAATCTTAACCTCCTCAGTTTTTGACTCTTGTATCTGGATGGAAAGGTTGCTGTGTGCTTGCAAAGGGAACTCTGGAAAAAGACTGGGTTTTATGAGGAAAATCAGTAATTTGGCTTTGAACATGTTGCATTTTGAGATGCCTTTCAGACAACTCAGAGATTTTTATGAGAGAAATTGGGATCTTCCTGGAAAAATCTGGACTGGAGATATAGTTTATAATACATCTAGATGTAAATTTCTGCAGATGAGCCACAGAGCAAAAAGGGAAATCAGGAACGCTTTGGGTCCCCAAAACCACAGAAGGGAAGTGGTTTACAGTTTAGAATGCTTCTGAAAGGGTAGGTAAGATGAGGACTTTCAAAAAGTTCATTGAATTTAGTGGCCCGAAGGCACTAAATTGTAACCTGTGTTTCCATAGAATAATAGAGGATGAAAGGAAATAGGAATGGATTGTGGGGTGATTTAAAGATGCAGAGAGGAGATAGCTGGTGTAGAGGAGTGCTTTGGGTTATCTAGCAGTGAAGGGGAGTGGAGAAGGGAGTGGGAGAGTGAGGTTTGCTTTGTATTAATGGGAAAGGCACAGGCACAAATGGACAGAACCTTGACCCTGGAGCAGTAGTACCTGATTTTGTTCATAATAGTATGTACAATAGAAGCTACAGGTTTGGGAGAGACCTGATCTCTTACGTTAACACACAAATAACTTTTCATATAAGCAGCGGTATTTGTATTATTCTCAGAGAATTCTCAAAAAAATCTGTAAGACATTCATTTGTTTGTTGTCATTCATCTTTTTAAAAGTCTTTTCGGAAGTATCTCTGTGCCAGCCAACCATCACTACACCGGCTCAGTTCCTAGAGTAGCAAGGACACCACCCTTTGGCTCTTTGCCCTGTTGCATTTTGATCCTATAGGTCATGTTTTTCCCTAAAGAAAAGAAAAAAGTTTAAGGCTCCTTATTTATTATTCACCGGGTCCCTTCTCATGCAGTTTATGTGGGGGGAAATCAAACCTTAGGGCAATTTGCTTTTGAAAGTGAAATGCCCTGTCCTCTATTACCAGCTCTTTCACTTACTGTACTACACAAGTGCCTGGGGAGGCTTTGTTTTTCTCCCAAGATCTTTGCTTTTTTCAAAGGTTTAGGAAACCCTAAGAAATTACTCTTGTACCACACAAAGGCCACTGCCAGTAAAGAGGTTTGGGTGCCCATTAACACCTGGGTGCCTCCCTTACACCTGGCTACAATTGCAGCCTGTATGCCTCATTCATTCTCTGCTTCCTCCCTGACCTCTGACTGCAGACACCAGTGCAGGGCATCCTGATCTTTGTGTTCTTTATTTTTAAGCCCAAGCAAGGGTTCTGACCGATACGTACTCATACAGCACCAAGAAGATCACAGCTCTCATTGTCTGGGGCGTTGCCAAGGCTGTCCTTTGAGACCGGCGTTTATAGCAAGCTCCCATCCCTGCTATTACTACTCTACAGCAGGCTTAGCAATGCTTGCATTTTTGCCCCTTTTTTCCTGACTCTCAGAATCTGACGCCAGTTTTCCTGAAGTGTAATTTTGGCAGCCTGGGCTGAAAGAAATGATCACTAAGTGTTTCTGATTGTCCAATTTATTTTTAAGAGGCACGGATTTATCTAAAAGCAACCTAATAGTTGTATTTATTTTTACACTGTGAAGTGGGAGTCTTATCGTTGCCGACTTGTTTAAAATTCAAAAGCTTGCCCCAGCATGTCGTAGCAATGTGAGTGAATATTGGGCTGACAGCATCTGTGATCTTTATTGATTGTCTCAAGGCAGTGTTGGTCCAGAGTGTGCTCTTTATTTTTGTTTTGTTTTGCTTTTCTGATTGCAAAAGGAACCCTTATTCATTGCCAGAAATGTGGAAAATAATGAAAAGTATAAAGAAAAAAACCAAAATGGCTCATAATTTCCAGAAATCCATTAACAGAAGGTATTTCTTTCCTGTATTAGTCATTAGATATAACTATCTTTTCTTTATAAAATTAAGATTATAATGTGCCTATAGCTTTGTTATTTTGCCTTTTTTTTTAATTTAGTGCTACAACTTGTTTTCCACCTATTAAAAATCATTAAAAATCAAATTTTTGCATAAAGTATTCTTTGTTTGGCTGGACCATGATCTCTTTTATTCTGTTGCAGTGGGAAGAGGAGAGGAACTTTGGTGCATCCCTATTACTCCCAGGCTTAAAGCAAAAGAACTCGGTGGGGTTGAGTTCCCAGTTGTATGGCTATGCACTTCTTGGTAAGCTAAGTGATCCTTACAAATATTGTCCTTTTGGATAGAACTGATGCATTTTTCTACATTGTAATGATTTTTTTATTTGATTTCAGTGTACCAGTGAAATTCCAATACAGCTTTCATTTTTAGACATAAAAATAGACCTTGATAGCCTTAACAGCTATGGGACAAAACCTTAAGAGACAGTAAAGAGGGTGCTAAAAATCTGTTACCGCTGCAAGGTGAAAACTAGTTCTGGTGGCTTTGAGTTATATTTTGTGGTAATCAGTGTGAGGAGGGGATAAAGAAAGGAAAGTTCTGGCCCTCTTTTGGGAGAACCAGCCAATAAAAATTTTCCCAGTACTAACAAAGATCTTTGTGTCTCTTTTAGACCTAAAGTCCAGGAGGTAAGATATTAAGAGTTAGGGTTGAACTCATATCCTTGGTATTGTTTTCAGGTGAAGGAAGGGATACTCAGTGCATCTAAATAGCACTTTGGGAAAGCACAGAGACTCTTGATACAATGTGACTGTTCCATGCTGGGAGATGGTTGCTTTACTTTGATGCCCTGATGGCATTGAAAGTCATGTCAGGAGGATGAAGCCTCGGAACTTGGGTTGTGTGGAAGTGGGGCAAATAGCATCCAACCTAAGTGTGCATAAAATGTGCCCTGATTTACAGAGGTCTATTAAATGCATATTATTTCATTATTCTTCCATTTTCTCTCTCAAGTAGGCAGGCATTTCAGAAGGCACCTTCTCTTAACCATACACTGCTTTGACTTACCTTCGTTTTATGAAAATCATCAAAGTTTCAGCAGTTTTGAAATTGATCCTCACTAACAAATGTGGTGTGGCCTTCTTGGATGCTGATTCTGTTGTAGACTGACAGAGGGAGAGGAATTTTAGAGTTCATCAGCTGGCTATCAGACTAGCAAAAGAATTGACCACTCTTTTTTTTTTTTTTTTTAAGATTTTATTTATTTATTTGACAGAGTGAGAGAGCATAAGCAGGGAGAGCAGCAGAGGGAGAGGGAGAAGCAGGCTCCCCGCTGAGCAGGGAGCCCCATTCGGGGCCGAATCCAAGGACCCCGGGGTTATGACCCTATCAGAAGGCAGATGCTTAACCACCTGAGCCACCCAGGTGCCCCTTGACCACTCCTTTTAAAAATTGTTTTCTCCTAATATGCCATCTACTTTCTTGCTTTTGACTTACACGTGTTTTACCTTTGCCTTCAGTGAGTATTCAGGACTGTGTGAATTATTGAGGGAGTTTTAAGAGTCAAGAAAAAGTACATTGTAGCTGCTGTTTCTGTGCAGAAGGCCCTGGTGCTTTGGGATGGGAGGCCATCAGATCAAATCTCTGTGTCATGTGCTGTGCATGCAGCCCCACTCAGCCTCATGGCAGCAGCTTCCCAGAGTGGGACTGCAGCGTCTTAAAAATCTAAAATTAGCTGTCACCTGATAAGCTTTGTCTATTTATGTCCTACCACAGCCTTCCCAAATCCTCCTTCCCAGGAAAGATAAGTGAAGGTGGCTTTAAGACCTGGCAGCTCAAGGTGACTTTGGCCGTTAGTGCAGAGAGGGCTTCTGTTCTGCAGGCGCACAGAGACAATCCCTTGGCCCAGCCGAGGACCCTGCCGTCTGGTGTCCACATCTTGAGCTCCAGTTGTGATGGTTTGAGGTACAAAGAATAACATTCATATCTGAAGATCTGAAAAGGACGATGAAGCCCAAATAAAGGAAAGAAGAATAAAATCAGATTTTTTTTTCATAAGGACAGTCGATGGGGGTGTTTTGGAGCATTTTGAAAAATATCAAACATTTGCTGGCAGGGAAAGTTGTCATATGTTGACAAGATTTCCACTGTAGGAGAATTGTGGGATTTCTTTTTCAGAGGAAGATTTTGTTCTTGAAACAAAAATAGTATTCAGTTGTTTGACTCGTATTCTAAGGGTAGTTCCACTTAAAGAGACAGATATCAACCTCTCTAAATTTCCCTCAGCCCTATGATTCATACATCCTCATGATAATTTCCACCAGACCAAATGGAAAAGAAGAAAAGCATATTCGTACAGTTTTGTATTAAAAAACAGCTTCAGTGAATTTCACCATATTCTTCGTCATCCATCTGAAATGGCACCAGCTCACTGGACAGGATGAGGCTCTTGGTACAGATTTGAAATGATTTTCCAGGTTCATATTCACTTGTGCGTTCAAGTCCTCAGTCTCATACATAGTGGGAAGCCATGGCTGAGGCTTCTTTGTTGTTCTTTTTGGGCACAGGGAAGGTGGAGCTTCAGCGAGGGCTGCGGGCTGTGTACCATAACATGCCTTTGCTGTGGAAACCTGGCTACCTTGACCGAGCCCTTCAAGTGATGGAGATGGTGGCCTCGTCCCCGGATGATGGGAAGCTGTGTGCAGAAGCGGTACGTCCCTCAGCTCTGAGTCAGTGTCCTTTAGCCATCTGCTGTTCCTTGTAAGCCAGCCTGTGAATTTGTTTGCATGGTCTTCCCCCTCCCCCTGCTGTCTTCACTCTGTAGAATCGTGTATTCATCCAGTTGAAAAGGAATGAAAATCCACACACATTCTCAGTGCTACTGACAAAAAGTATTAGAGAATAAGATGAATGTTGATGCCATAGCTCACTGTCTGAGAGGAAAACTATCGCTCTCGCCCGGAATTGAAACTGAGCTCCAATCTTTCTGTAAAGGAAGCTTGCCTAGATTCTGAGGTTCTCCTGCACATTCAGAATGACCCTCTGTTGGTTGTGCTCTGTGGTGGGTTTTCTGTCCTTCTCCCAATTCCAAACCGGTTGAGGAAGAGAGCATGGAAGAGGAATACTTGGAGTCCCCATCAAACATAATTTTGGGGTCCTTCCCCTGTTGACTAAAGGTGAAATCAGGTGATGCGGTGCTGATCTGTACACAGGTGATTCTGAGCTTGCATATTCATACCACACGCTTTGTGCTAGGTTGTCCCTGCCATCCAGTGGGGAGTTTCTGACGTAAAATTGGATAACCACGACTCTTGCCAATAATTTTACAAGAGAAAGAGTTCACAAGTTGCAGATCCCAGCTGTTCCTTCCTTTCCCTGGCCCATCTTCTCTTCGCGGTGTGTTTTCAGGCCCCTCTTTCTGCCCCACAGCTGGCTATGCTGGACAGAACACTGAAAGCTCTGACTGCTCCAGCCCCCGCGGCTTCGGAGGAACAGCCCCAAGAAGGGGAAGACAGCCGGGGCTCAGAAGACCTGGTGGAGCAGCTGGACGTGGAGGAGACCGAACAGTCCAAGCTTCCCTGGTATCTGGAACGATTTAAGGTGCGTCATAGCAGAACTGAGCCCCTCTCCACTGTGCTTCTTTGCTGTGGTGTCAGGCAGGCCTTTCGTGCCTCACTGTCACACACACAGGCATGAAAAACTGACATCACCAATGAGGCTTCAAACAGGAAGCAGTCTTAAACAAATGGAATTTTTATACTCCTTTTTGTGCATGAGCTAATCAGTCCCAGTTTTGTTCACTGTAGCAGTGTGTCATTACACACTCATCCCTGATGTGTCTGATGGGAGGGTACTAGCTTGCCGACTCAGAGCAGTCGCCTGACTCCAACCCCAGGTGGAAAGGATCTGGTCATTTCTCTGTATTGCACTCATGTGCTTGATAACCCAAAACCCCAAGTGGGAATTAGAAAGCCACATTCAAGTATGATGGAGATCAGCTACAGGCATCTTCTGTTGTTTGGTTTTGTGTTGTGCCCTCGGGCCCTCCAAATACATTTTTGGACTGCATGGAAGATGGAAACAAGTTTCCACTGTTTCCTTTCCAAGTAGTCTTGAGCACTCAAGCTGTCTTTGGTAGCTTTCAACTGCATGGCCCAGAATACTCTGTTATCAGCATCAGGGAAGAAGAGCCGTGTTACAGGTTAACCCCCTGGCCTCTTCCTTGCTTTGTTTCTTGTCTACAAAGGGCAGAGAGAAAAATGTGCTGCCTGAAGAATTCTTTATATGAAGCAGAAAACCTTCCTATCCATGCCAGTTGACTTCATGTGTCATTTGGGGGCAGAGAGGTGTCATTTTGCCTATTGATGACATGTTCAGTAATGCTGAACATGGGATATCTCTGTCCCAGTGTTACAAGGACTCTTCTCTACTTGCAGCTGCTGTTCCTCCCACTAATTCTATAAAGTCATTGTTCAAGGTCCCTCTTTCAGAATTTGAAAACTGAGAAAGGTTGATCGATATTAGGTACACAGAACTGGCGGTAAAGAACTTACATACCTACCTGTTCCTCTTAACTTTGCAGATTAAGAAAGTCTAAAAAACAAACAAAAAATGCTGCTATAACACACCTAAAAATGACTGCCTCTTCCGCTTGTTTCTTATATATTTAATCTCAAAGAATAGAAATCTGTGCTGCATTAAATTCTCAGTCCTCATTCTTCTACACATGCATTTTTTTGAAAATCGAAAAGAGGAGACAAACATTTATTGGCTGCTGGCTGTGTCACAGGCATCAGTGCGTTTCACCCATCTTCACTGCGGCTCTGCATGGCGGATGCTGCTTTTCCTGTGTTAAATGACGCCAGGCTGAGATGCGCTCTCCCGTAAGTGACTGATCTGGGATTTGAACCAAAGTTTGCTAACTCAGATTTGAGTCCTTATTCTCTTGTCCCAAACTGTCTCCTTGCCTCCAAACCGCACAGAAAGTGATCTCGGAAAGAAATAATTTTCATTATACATTTCTTTTTCTTCCTGTTGCCTTTTATTAGTTTCGGGTAATTTGTGTGGGGTCCATTTTTACAGGACTGACCCAGCACACTAGGCCTCTAGCCACTCCTTGACGTATGGATCCTGCCCACCTTCCAGTCCCGTATTGGAGCAAGCCTCATCACCTATGCCAGTGAATTGTGCTTGTGTTTGGAACATGGGGATTCGTGGCATAAGCTACAGCTGAGCCATGAGTGGCTCTCTTTTGATGGTCTACATCTTGAAGCACTTAAGGAGATTAGTGTTTTTAGTACTTGACTCCTCCAGGAATACAATACCGCCCAAACCAAGATGCCATTTCAGATGGAGCTATGAGCAGTTTGTAAAGGCTGACCTTCGAGGGAGCACAGCAGGTGGAAGCTTATAATAGTGCGAGCACTCATGGGAGCCGTTTAGCATGCCATTAGTAGAAAGTTCTTGAAATGATTTCCATCTGTTGAAAGGAACCCTGGTTAAGCAAACATTTATTTCCATCATTCTGAAAGAAAAGATGTGGACGGGCTTGTGCCCGGTTATCAGCTGCTTCTGCCATTTTGTGTGCATCTTAGAGTGCTTTGCTCTGGGAGTTTGGTGCTTGGTTTGGTGCAAGTCAGAGTGGAAAGGTAGATTTGTTAGGCTTGTGCTGTCTTTGTGGATTAAAACAAGAAATTACCTAGAAAATTACAGCATATGGAGTCCCATTTACTGGTCGTGAGTGAAAGGAGAGAAATCACATGTGGTGCATCTTAGCAAAAGTGCTGGACTAAAAAAAAAAGAAGGGGGCAAGCACTCACAGCATCTGGATGAAAGGCAGCATGACAGGTTCCCAATAAAATGCCTTTTCCTGTAAGCAGAATGTGTGGAGATTTTGCAAGGACTTAATCTCCTTTCTGCTTTGCCTTCTCCCATCTGCATCCTCCTTCCATCCTCCTCCCCACCTCCATCTTTTCCTTGATTTCCAACAGGACTTGCACTCTAAGCTTGAGGCCCTGGGCCGAATTGAGTCAGAAAGCCTTTTGGCTCTGACCACCCAGCTCATCAAGGAACAGCTCCCCACCTGTGAAGCCGAGGACATCGCAGCCTACGAGCAGAAGCTGCAGCAGTGGCATCTGGAGCGGGTACACTTGATTCAGAGGGAAGAGGAACAGAGGGAGAGGGCAAAGCAGGAGTATGAGGCCCGGAGAGCAGCAAAGGCATCTGCCTAACAGGCCCCCAGCGCTCCAGGCCCCAGCACAAGAACTTCACTAGCCCCGTCCCAGGACTCACGGGCAGCCTCAGCCTGAGGGCAGCCTCAGCCTCCTCCATCCGCCCCTCCTTTGCCTAAAGCAGGCCGTTTGCGGTATCAGAGCCACAGTTGTCAATGTATGAAGGCACTGACTTCCCATCACATGCCGTGGAGGGCTGCAGAGCTGTGAGTGGCAAGCAGTCAGACTGAAGCCCCAGCTACATACCTTAAACAAGGTGCACCTGAGGCCTATGGGGGGGGGCAGTTCTGGGGTCCAGGATCAGTTTTGAACAGTGAAAACTCTTGATCCATAGCGGTGGTAGAGGGAGAGACTGGTTGAACAGCATGGCATTGAGCACAGGCTTTTGAATGGTGTCTCGCCAGTGGCAGAGTACACGTCCTAAGCCTCATCCCCCTCCATGGCCTCCCAGCCTGAGCTGGGTGTGGGATGCCCACGTATCTCACCTTCTCCTTCCCCTGTGTCTCTTCTCTGCAGACCTGAACTTGGGGGAAATTGAGGACAGGAGTGAACACCATCATGAGCCCACTGGCTTTCAAATTTCAGGCACCCACGGTGATATTTTTAGAGTGGAAGGACTTCTGAGGGGAACGCTAGCTCTAGCTCCAAAGCCTCCTTGGCTTGGCTTCTCCAACATGTTGGGGTAACTTCTTTCCAAAGCATTCTGAGCTCCTTCCTCAAGGAGGTAAAGTGAGCTCTTTGTGTCCACATGTGCACACACGTACAACTTGTCAATACACATTTCAATTGCAGAAGTAGGAGAAAACGAGAGGCAGGATGGGGCTTGTAGTACTTAGGAGACATGCATAATTGTGCAACTGTCAGGAGGTGGAAATTCCTTCCTGAAGTTTCTCTGTGAAAGTGTTCAGGGGCAGCTCCTGTTTGCTGTGTAATTTTGCCTTTAAGCACTGTTGTTCAAGGTTGTGCTGTTATCAAGAACTTGTGGAAATAAATGTCCTGGGATTCTTTTGTTGTGTTCTTTGTCTTTTAGGGAAGGGAGGAAGAGAGGAAGTCACACAATTAATATGATTAGTCTGATTTTGAGCAACACTTTTTAACCTTTCTTCTCTATCAGACTTTGGCATTTACAACTACCACCACAACCGTTAACATGAATTGAGGATGAAGTGTATGCCAACACCTCAAGCAGCCCTGTGCGGGAGGTAGAGTAACCCCTTTCTTGAATGTGGAAACAAGCTTAAGTGGCTGAGGCAAGGCCAGCCCCGCTCCTCACCTGGTATGCTGACCGCTGGCTATACCTGCCGTGCACATCGGCGCAGGGCCTTGTTGCTGAGCAGAGCTGAGTCTTACTCAGGCAGAAGGTCAAGACTCAAAATCAGTTATGATACTTTGGCTTATCAGGGACAGGGCTTTTTCCACCACTTCCTTATTTTGTCAAGAGGAAGGTTCAAGATGGATCAGAAGGCCCCTTTTGCTCCGTAGATTACTGACCATCACGGCATAAAGGATCACATTATTACTTGGCCTTCTGTTTCCTCCCCATCTGTCCCTACCCCAGTTTTTGCCAGAGTGCGGAGCATGAAAACTGCCGCTGAGCAGCAGTACAATACCTGACTCTCCTCCTCGTGGGACCGTGTTGCCTTGGCACCAAACTTTGCATCGTGTTTTCACACTTCTAGCTGGCCATGGATATCAGATATGTGTGTGGGATTTTTGTTGTTGTAGATTTTCTGTGTATTCACAGGCCTGAAAATTAGTTTATTAAAGTCATTTTTTCACTATGAATGAATTAACATCTCGTTAGTAGAGGCCAGAAATCCTGCTGAACATCTCATGGTGCACAGGGCTCCCGCATGACTAGGAAGTACCTGGTCCAAGATGTCAATTGTGCCAAGGTCAGAAACCTTGGCTGAGAGCAGAGAAGCAAGGCATCTACAGACATTTTTGCAGTGATGTAGATGAGACTCAAGAATAATGTTTGTGCAAATGGCTCATTTACAAATGGCATTTCTCAGGCTAGAAAAATAATTAACATTTAATAATCTTAATATTTAACTAATAAAATAATGCTTTTTATCTAAGTAAACGAGTATAAAATATGCAATAATACAGGGTGGATTATTATTCTTCCTAAACAAAGTCCATTGTGGAAAAGGGTAAATGATGATTTATATGATTTTGCTGTCAAGCGATATGTAACTGGGGCCAGGAGTCTTAAGTTCCCAAATGAAGCTGCTGTGATGTGAGCTCCTATGAGTCAGCAGGCTCTATACCGCTGCACCCAGTGACCTCACTGGGAATGCATGGTAAGAAAACGATGAAGTTTGAAATGGGCTCAGAGAAGCAGAAAATGTGTTATGGTTGTATTTTCATTAAATGATCATTAATAATCTTCAGAGCTGAACTTTCCAATCTCTGACCATGATAAATTTTTTTTAATCTTAACTTTAGAAAATGGCGTAAGACGAGTACTTTGCAATGTCTTTATGTCAGGGAAATTGCCCTTTATTCTAAATAATAGCTCTTAGTTTGAAAATAACCTTTCGGGACGCCTGGGTGGCTCAGTTGGTTGGACAACTGCTTTCGGCCCAGGTCATGATCCCGGAGTCCCAGGATCGAGTCCCGCATTGGGCTCCCTGCTCCACAGGGAGTCTGCTTCTCTCTCTGCCCTTCTCCTCACTCATGCTCTCTCTCACCGTCTCTCTCTCAAATAAATAAATAAAATCTTGAAAATAACCTTTCCTTTCCCCCATTGAGTTGGCCTTTTTGCTGACATTGCATGCTGCTGTGAGGATGCTCTTACCCATATGGGAACAAGGAAGTCAAAAAAGATGGTATCAGTGCCCAAGTAAATGGGAGTTACCCCTGGGAGCTTTGTTTAAAACAGACTTGGGCTGCATGTTTATTATGTATGAATGTTAGGGGTTTCAGATCTGAGCTGGACATGTTCAGAAAACAAAGTTTATTCTTACGGGAAGCATCTGAAAGTTAATTCCATGGTGGGCTTTAAATGCTAGATCAAGGACTGCAGGGAATATTTAAGGATTTCTAAGAGGTACATTATATTCTCATGTACTCAATGGTAGGGGAATTTCACTTGCTTTTTTGGTTTCTACAGTACTTCATCTCAGCAGAGTTTAAAATTTTAATCTTTAAAACCACCCCCCGCCCCAGGTTAAAAGCCTTAAACAGTATGTGGAATAAAACCAGTGCCCATTAAAAGCTTCCTCCAGTGACAGTATGCTGGGCCGCTGTTGGATATCAGTATTTCCCGGGCTCTGGCTTATCACTGGACCCATCTTGATTATGAAACTTACATTTAACAACTCCTCTTTGTGAATGCCCATTTTTACCCAGCTTAATTTCACCCACTTGGAATAGCCCTGCAGGGCAGGGATTATTGCCCTTCAGAGGGGAAAACTGAGGCTTATGTGTCTTGCCCAGGGCCACACAACTAATCAGTGGGGTCACAGTACTTGAACCCAAGTTTGTCCAATTCCAAACCCACTTCCCAACAACCACACTGTATAACCACTGTGACGACCTGAGACAAAGTACATTCAAGCAAATTTTTATTGAATATCTGTTGTGTGTCAGGCACTGTTAAAATAGTCACTGAGGGGGCACCGGGGTGGCTCAGTGGGTTGAAACCTCTGCCTTTGGCTCAGGTCATGGTCCCAGAGTCCTGGGATCAAGCCCCACATCGGGCTCTCTGCTCAGCAGGGAGCCTGCCTCCCCCTCTCTCTGCCTACTTGTGATCTCTTTCAAATAAATAAATAAATAAATAAATAATCTTTGGGAAAAAAAATAGTCACTGAGGATGCAGCAAGGAACAAAAAAGACAAAGATCCCTTCCCTTGTGGCATTTACATTCTATGGAGGGAGATAGTTAATTCATAATATGTCATGTGGTGATAAGTGGTACAGAGATAATGCAAAGAAGAGGAGAAGAGAACGCTGGGTAAGGGCCGAAGGTTGCAACTTAAACTAGCTTGGTTAGGGAAGGCCTTCCTAGAAGGATAACTTTTGACTAAAGACCCATGGGGGTGAGGGTGAGAATCATGGTGTTACCTATGGAAAAGTGTGGTAGACAGAGGAACCAGCACCAAGGGTCCAGAGGGAAGCCTGCTTTGGGTGCCAGAGGACTAACCTGGAGGCCAGTGTGGCTGGAGCAGAAAGTTTAAAGTGGAGAATAGCAGGAGATGAGGCCAGAGAGATAAGGGGTGCAGGAAGGGACAGATGGTGTAAGACTCCCTGGCCCATTAGTAAGGGTCCTGGCCTTCACTCTGAGATGAGAGCCCATCTGAAGGCTCTGACCTAATATTTTCAGAGGGTTCGCTAGTCTAGCTGCTATGGGGTAAATGAACACGGAGGGCAGAGATGGGACGTGGGAATATAGGTTGGTTAGGAGGCTACCGCGATAGTCCCGGAGAGAAACTATGGGCTTAGACAGTCACAGTAAATGTGAGGAGAAGGGGATGGACAGGGTGTTTTTGGAAAGAAGAGCTAGCAAACTTGCTGTTGGGCCAAGATTTTTTACCTGAGTAGCTAGAGTAATGTGTTCACCATTTATGGAGGTAGAAAAGCCTGGGGAGAGAAGTAGTTTGGGGAAATCAGGAATGTTTAGAGGCATATTAAATTTGATTTGGGTTATTTTACAGATCCTTATTGATCATCCAAATGGGGCTCTTAATAGCTGGATATGAATTTGGAGATCAGAGAAGAGGTATGGACTGGAGATAGCAGTTGTAGAAGTCATCAGCTTAAACCCATGAGAGTGCATTACAGTAACCTGCAGTTTTGGTTTGAGCAGAGAGACTCTGATCCATGAATGGATCTGTGCCTATTTTTCATGGCGAGATCACCCCATGAAGCAGTCCTTATTATGTTGCTCCATCATCTGTGAAAACATTGCCAGTGACACCCCCAGAATTACCCAGAAGAACTGCTCGTCTTCAAAGAACTGGGTGTGACCAAGAGTCAATCTGCATGTATGACTCCAGTGAATTTTCAAGATGCACAGTATAAAATCAAAGAGGAAAGGGTGATTTGGGATTATGAAAGAGACCGAGAATTCACGAGTGAGGAGTTTGTCAAAAGATCATTATAGGGACACAGAGAAGCATTTAAAATTAGCAATACAAGTATAAAGAGAGAGAAGGTAGAGTCAGTACTGTAGCAGACCTTTGTTGATATACCTGGAAGACAGGAAAAAAGAAACTGAAGAACGCCACCTCCGGTGTCTAGGAAAGGACCAGCTGGAAGGGCATTAACTCCCTCCCCATCTCTGCTGTGCCTGGGTCTGGAGGGAGTAGGATAGGAACTCATGGAGAGGTTTGGCTAGGGTGAACAACTGGCAGGGCTTCCCCAGGACTGATGACCTCCTGAGAGTCAAAGCCAGGGCCATGCTGGGCGATGCAGATGGGCCCGCACCCTTGGTTCCGGCCAGAAAGATGTGCTGGAACAGAGTAGTGTGACAGTGGAATAAAAGATAACTTACTTTAGTGTGATAGATGTAATTAAAATCTCTTGTGGTGATTTCCCACCCTGAGTATTCACATGCTTAACCCTTTGATTTCTGGAGGCATTTCCAATTCCTTCTGCCAAGCAGCAACTTCTAACAGGACCAGTCCGTGAAGCCCCATGGTTTTGGAGGCACAGATAAGATAAAAGGAGTGTATGTAACAAAGAGACATCCTTATGACTCAGGACAGGCTGCAGTAACCTGAGGCCAAAGGATCATCTCTGGAGACAGACTGGGCCAGGTCCTGGAAGTCTCTGTTGAGCCCTCTGTGGGCATATTGTTGTGGCCGTGTGGAGGGAATCAAGATGCCAGGGCCTTGCACTGTATGCTAGCCATTCTGAGCTGAGTGGGTCCCCCGGGGTAACTGCTCCTGCTCTATTGGTGTGATCTGTTGCCTCTGCCTGGAGTCTGCATTCTGCAAACCTTCCCCCATACACACATACTGCAGGTCTCCGCTTAGACATCACTTCGGGTGCTTTTC